CATGCATCTTTAGAAGTGCTTTTGTGCACTTCCCGATGAGTTTGTGCCTCTGGAGGGTGGCTTCGTGCACCGGGGAAAAAGTGCAGCATTGTGTGCAGTTGCTAAAATAAGCATGTGGACGTCAATCTGATCCCCTGAAATTCTTGTTGGCTTACTCATGCAAAATAATGGAAGAATAATATCTACAATTATGAGAGCGAGTTTCAGGGTACATATCTACTCAAAATTGTTGTTATATATATATATATATATATATATATATATATATATATATATATATATATATATATATATATATATATATATATATCAAGTGTTCCCCAACGCCCCCCATCTAAATACTGACCTGGCTCTATGATGCTTAACCACACTGAACGAACCTAGAAACGTTGTGTCCCTCGTGATTTGATCTTTTTCTTGCAGATGGTGTCCAACTGACCCTACTATACTGTGTAAAATCAAAAACAAACAACATGCATGCGTAAAATTATAAATATAAAATGGGAACGCACATACACACACTATATATATATATATATATATATATATATATATATATATATATATATAAACACAAAACACACACATATATATTGGGGAAAATGCGTGACAAAATTGAAGTTTTCTTGTGATGCGTTTCGTTCTTTAGGATTTCATTGGGCTAAATGACCTGACAACTTTTTAGGGCGAGGGTTGTGGCGTACGTTCCCGCGCAAAAATGAGATAGGATTCGCGAATCGACACCGGTCCTCAAATATCGATAAAAACGTCTTCTCAGCAACAGTCAGGCAGATCTGAAATGGAACAGTCAGCGAACAGGCCCGGCAACGACACATGTTACCATGACAACACGCTAGTTTGCGATGATTTTTCTACATACAAAGCCGCGGCGAATGTAAGTTCTAGATACCATTCTCTTTGTTCACTGTGTTTTGAAATCACTGCTATCGCACACAACTAGTCAACAGTCAAACGCATGTTTCGTTATGCTTCACACATATTGGCGTACATATCATTTCGCACATTGCAGACTCACTTTCAACGAAATCACTTCGAAATCTGCAGACTCACTTGCAACGAAATAATTAAGTTCGAAGTTATTTTGTTGACTATCTGAGTTTTGAGCCGGACCGTAGGAAATAAGCCATGACCTATTTCCAGGTCATTTGGAATTCAACCGCGCGGACGTCATAGAGAGGAGATCGCGTGACTTGTCCTATCCAATCATGTTCCAATCATGTTCCACTTATTTAATTTTGGAGCAGAGTTTGTACAGAATTGTAAAAGTTTTTCGTATCTACTGAATTTTGTGAGATTTACTTGAAGGTGTCTTTTATTTTTTTTCTATAGTCTCCACTAAAATAACGTTCAAAGTGATAAAATATATATATCTATACACATGTCCATATGTGCATATAGAAACATCTCTCTCTCTCTCTCTCTACACACACACACACACACACACACACACACACACATACATACATATATATTTATACACATACATATATATATATTTCCCTGACGATCCGTTTAGGTGAAACCTAGGTAGGTTTGTCTGGCTCACTAGGTGTATCTAGGTCTGATCTACGGTTGTATTGAGCTCTTTTGTTAGTTAGTTGTTTACTCGTATCGGGGTTTTTTCTTTGGGCTTTAAACCGGCAGAAGTTCATGTTTGTAGCTCTTTCTTTTTTTAAAACCTTTTTTCCCTCGAGATTGATTTGATTAGCAAATCAAAAATTCGAGGGTTTTTCGAAACGAGTCTAGTTATCTATATCTATATAATTATTTTTTATAAAAAAATTATAACATAAGTATGTTATAAAATCACTACAAAAATAGCCATTTTGTTTCAACACACTCTGTGTCTTATGATGTTGTCTTATGATGTTGAAAATAAAATAAATGGTTTTAAAAGTTTCAGATTAATTAACGATCCTACACTAGGGGGAAACATTGTTACAAAAGCTAGAATAACCAATCAAAAACGAAGTATAGAAAGATTCAAAAGCTTGACAACGAAATCATGTTATAATAGCTATTCAGATCTTTAAATACGTGTAATATTAAAAATAATTTATACTAACCAATAATTGTAAAATTATATGATAAAATTTAATATTAAAATTAAAAACTGGCAATTTTAAAATCCAAATTTAATCACTATTAAGTTTTAAAACTACAAAATTATTGAGAAAAGAAAAAATATATATGTTTATTCAATTCATTTCTTCATTGAAATTACGTTCGACAAGACGCTACAATATATCCGGTCATTTGACAATACATGTATATATATTTTTTTCTTTTCCCTTTCTTTTCCTTTTTTATTTTAAAGTGTGTGAATGTGGTCTTAAACTCACGCGCAAAATAACAAAAACACAATCAGATTATAGTACATAAGCACCCAGACATAATTAGATACACACACACACACACATGCACACACACCCACATACACACACACTTAAAAAAAAAGGTGGGGGGCGAGACATGAAGATTTCTACAGCCCTTTATGAAAAAAGGAGACGTGGAAACTAACACTTATACACACACACAGTTAAATGTGATATATATATATATATATATATATATATATATATATATTGTCGTAGATTGACCCACACCTACCAGGAATCCTAAGCACGTCTAGGTGAGAACTCCCTGCGATATCTCATCCTACGACGTTTCTGCACATATTAGATTTTAGTGGAGAACTAACCACACTTTTTGATGAGCAGAATACATTGGGGCAAAAGGTCCCCAAATGACCCTCTTCAGGTTTTAAATTCAGAGTTGTCCCTCTCCTAGATCAGTTGCCATCCAAGGCTATAGAACTATTTACACATAACTGGAGCGAGAAGAGGAGCTATTAGCACGTAAGGGAATATAACGAATTGGGCTGGATATATATATATATATATATATATATATATATATATATATATATATATATATATATATATATAAAAATAAATTAATATATATAACAAAATTAAATAAAACACCAACAGTCACTTTTTAGTTCAAGCTTCCACTACAATAATCACATTTATTGTTTTTATCATTCTCCCACCACCATTACTAATCACTTCTACCAATTTACAATAACTATTAGCTACTTATATTATCATTGTCACAAATCCCCTTACAACATTACTATCACATCAAAAATCAACAAAAAACCAGCTTTAAAATAATAACAAAGCAACCCTTTTTTAAAATTAAAAATAAAAATAATAGTAATTTTTACTTATCATAATTTTACACAGACTCCACCATACATGCGAGGAAATATTATTCAGTGAAAAAATAGAAAAATGCTCTGATTGTTGACATGTATACATTCGCGAGACATTCACGAGAAATTTTCGCTACACTTCCGATCTTTGAATTTCAACATACAAATGCGTATGTATAACACCACCTATATACATACATATGTCAAATCCGGAACTGTCCACATATGTTTATATATGTATGAGTCCCGACGGACGACCAAATGTGTACGTGTGTCTGCGTACCTCATCTGATGTACGGACATGCATCTATGTTTGTGTTAGCACGATGACATCACGACGACGATTCCCCCCACTCCCATAACACCAATACACGCAATCTACATAAACCCAATTTTATAAAAAAATTAATCAGTTTGTCTAACGATCGCAAAAGCATGAAACCCAGGGTCCCACACAAGCTCACATCAATCCAAACTAATATATATATATATATATATATATATATATATATATATATATAGTTAGTTAGTTAGAGTTAGTTAAATAAATAACTAAATAAAGTACTCAATACATTAAATAGAGCAGACCTAGTTAAACCTAAAGAGCCAGACAAACGTACCAAGGTTTCACCTAAGGCTGCCTTCCCTGACGATCCGCTTAAGTGAAACCTTGGTAGCTTTATATGGCTCTTTAGGTTTAATTAGGTCTGCTCTACTTAACGTATTTAGCACTTTATTTAGTTTTTTTGCGTATTCGTATCGGAGTTTTTTTCTTTGGACTTGGATGCTAGACGATTATTTTCGGCTAATGTACATGTTCTTGGTTCTTTCTTTTTTATATACCTTTTTTTCCCCTTTGGTATTGGTTTGATCATTTGCAAAGAAAGACATCGAAGGTTTTACGGACGAGTACAATTTCTTATACATATAAGATTATTACTACTAATATATATATATATATATATATATATATATATATATATATATATATATATATATATAATATATAGTGAGAGATATATTACTCTAAAAGTGTTCTTTTCGTGGATACACGTGTTTGAGTAGACGCCCTTAAAACACTGTGAATTACGTTTACTGGCATAATTATTAGTAATTCATAATAAAGAATGTGCTTCTCGGATTCATAATGAAATATATTAATAAGAAATACTGCCGGTTTAAAAATAGAATCCATTAAATTCATGAAAAAATACTTGACGAAAATCGAAATCATTTTTTCTTCTCGTAGTATTTTAACTAAATAAAATATAACCCATAACTTCTGTTAAATATGGCATTCCCCCAAAACCGTTTCCAGTTTTTAATTTCTTGTCATCAGATATCTATGGGTTGCCAGATTCTATATAAGTTCTCATAACTAGGATCTCTTAGAGAATGAGTTTATTTTTCTTCCTAAACATTATGGATATATTGTGCCTCAGTCCCTTGAGGCTTAAGTGAATTGTGTGGATGAAAATGGAGATGCAGCCACCTCTTCCCAATTTCAACCCCATGGGCCAACAACTCTTTTCTGGCAAAAACACAAATGAGACCCTAATTTTGTGAATCAAAACAAATTTGAACACAAAATGGTATTCATTGTCTTGAGCCACTCTCTTTTTCTCCATTCGACTTCTGATGCTTCAGAGGTATAGAGTCCAAGTTCTTTTCTGGCTCAGTCTCCATTTGTTAGGCCCATCTTCTTCCCTCTCCCATGAATAACACCATTATGGATATACAGTAGGCAGAAGAGGTCCCTTTAGGCAAAGCGGTAACCAACAGAAGTAAGAAGATAGAAAGGAAAAAGAACAAAAAGAGAGAAAGAAGAAAATACTAAATGGAGAAAGAAGACAGATGAATAAACAAGGAGAAGGAAAAAAAGAGATGAAAAACGAAGAAAAAGCACAAAAGGAATGAAAGAAGAAGAAGAAGAAGAAGAAGAAGAAGAAGAAGAAGAAGAAGTTAAAAAAAGCTGAACGGCAAAAATGATGAAATGAACAATGGAATAAGAATAAATAAATAAATAAATATCAAAATAAAAATAAGAGAATACAAAATCATAGAAAAGAAAGATAATTGAAGTTGAAAGGAGAATAAAATAAAATTGAAGATATTGTTAAACAGAAAGAAACGATGAAGTATAAATAAAAAAATGTAAGTCACCGTAATAAAGGGAAAAATTGAGAAAGGTGAAGGAAAAATTTAAAATATATAAAATTATATGGAAAAATTATGCAGTGAGAAATAGAAGTGAGAGGAAAAGAAGGAAGAGATGTAGAAAGAAAAGCAAGTTGAGAGGTATAAAAAAACGGATAGATGGGGAAGGAATTAGAAGCATCATTGAAACAATTGAAGAAGAAGAAGAAGAAGAAGAAGAAGAAGAAGAAGAAGAAGAAGAAGAAGAACAACAACAACAACAACAACAAAAATAGATTGGTAGATTGCAACATGATACATAACGGTGAGGAAGAAAAAAACGAAAAAGCAGAAGAAAAGGGAGGAGGGGATGAAAGTGGGTTGTGAGATTGCAACATGATACATGGCGATGAAGATGATGATGATGATGATGATGAAGGTGGATTGAGAGATTTAACATGATACATGATGATGATGAAGAAGGAGAAGAAGAAGAAGATGAAGATGATGATTATTATTATGATGATGATGATGAAGGTGGATTGAGAGATTTAACATGATATATGATGATGATGATGATGATGATGAAGGTGGATTGAGAGATTTAACATGATACATGATGATGATGAAGAAGGAGAAGAAGAAGAAGAAGAAGATGATGATGATTATGATGATGATGATGATGATGAAGGTGGATTGAGATATTTAACATGGTATATGATGATGATGATGATGATGATGATGATGATGATGATGGAGAAAAAGAAGAAGAAGAAGAAGATGATGATGGTGAAGGTGGATGGAGAGATTTAACATGATACATGATGATGGTGATGAAGAAGAAGAAGAAGAAGAAGAAGAAGAAGAAGATGACGACGACGACAATGATGATGATGATGATGAAGAAGAAGGATATGGAGGAGAAGAAGTAGAAGAAGAAGAATTAAAAGAAAGCAGCTTAAATTCAAATGAAGACGAAAATGAAGATAGAAAGAAATAAGAAATAAAAAGATAATTTGGAAATCTTTAGTTAAGACAAAAGAATGCTGCCAAAAACAAACAAAAAAAAAAAACAAGAAAAACCCTCAGAAAAAAAAAAAGATCGGGATTTTGAAGGATAACATTTTGATAAAACTTCAAAGAAAGAAAAGACGAAATTTGCAGAAATGAAAACGAAAAGGAATGGAGAAGAAAAGAAGAAAAATAATTTGAATATCTTTGAAGAAGAAAAGAAATAATTAAATCCTTAGCTTCATAAGAGAGGTAGAAAGAAAGAAAACTTGGGAAATCTCTGAAGAAGAAAATAAAAAAATAAAAAAGTTTGATTTGTCAACACGATAAAGAAAAAAAGAAAAACATGAAAACTCTTTATTTGGCAATCTATGAAGAAGAAACGAAAAATAGAAGCAAATCATTTATCGTACAAAAAGACATAAAACTTAGAAAACTCTGACGAAAAAAAGAAAACATTAATTTCGTGAAATTAAGAAGGAAAAAAAAATGAAGGAATGAAAAGAAATTAACCTGGCAATATTTGAAGAAGGAAAAAATGAATTATTAAACCATTCATCAGATAAAAAGAAAGAAAACTGGAAACATCTAAAGATGAGAAAAAAAAAAGGTTCAATTTAGGTAAATGAAGAAGAAAAAGAATAAGGAAGAAAGAAAGAAAAAATGAACCTGTTAATGTATGAAGAAGAAGAAAAGAAAAATAGAGTAAATTATTTATCAGAAAAAAAATAGGATAAAGCGTCGAAATCTCTGAGGAAGAATAAATTTGGAGAAAGGGAGAAGAAAAAAAATAAGGAAGGAATGAAAGAAGAAAATGATGTTGGTAAACAATAAAGAAGAAAAAAAACGAGTAAATCATTCATCAGAAAAAAAGACGCTGAGCTTAGAAATCTCTAACGAAGAAAAGAAGAAAGGAAAAATAATTTGGAGAAATGAAGAAGAAAGAAAGAAAGAAAGAAAGAAAAAAAAAGAAAAAATGAACCTGCTAATCAATGAAGAAGAATAGAAAAAAGTCATTAATCAGAGAAAATGGCGAAAAGCGTGAAAATCTCTGACGAAGAAAAAAAAAGCATTAATTTGGAGAGATGAAAAAGAATGATGAAGGAAAGAAAATGAAACTAGTAATGAAAGAAGAAGAAAATACAGAGATGAGCAAATGATTCATTAGAGAAAAAGACTGAACCCTTAGAAAACTCTTTCGAAGAAAAGAAAATTAAAAATTTAATTATGAGAAATGAAGAAAAAAAAAAAAAAAAATGAAAAAGAAGAAAAGAAAGTCCTTCACAGGAAAAACAGAAGATTTGGCTATCATTGAAGAAGAAAAGAAAATGTAAAAAGAAGAAAAGAAAGTCCTTCATTAGAGAAAAAGACAGAAGATTTGGCTATCATTGAAGAAGAAAAGAAAAAAAAATATCTTCATTTGGAAAAATGAAGAAAAATAATAATATATAAAAAAGCAAGAAAAAATAATTTAGAAATATCTAGAAAGAGAAAAAAAAAAAAACATTAGATTCACCAAAGAAAAAGAAAGAAAACTCATAAAAGAAAACAAAAAGGAAAAAAAGAAAGCGACATAGAATTTGATGTAGAAAAATAAAATAAAAATAAAGAAAAGTTAGAAACCTCTGAAGAAAGAAATAAAAATAAAAGATAACTGATTTATTGCAGAAAATGAAGAAGAAAAACAAGAAAGAAAAAAAACTGAGACGTTAGTAAAAATAAAATGTTTTACAAAAGAAGAAAATTTTTGAAAAAGAAAAAAAAAAAGAACAAAGAATATTAAAGAAGGAGCGGGTCGTTTCAAGTTGAACTACGGAATAGCACCAGAAAGGGTCATGGAAACTCTTTTGGAATATGAGGTGGCAAAGAATTTCATGGCTGTGAAAGCTGCAGTCCCCAAAGGCTTGGGATCTGTTGGCACTCTTGCTAATTGGCCCACATCAAGAACCATCTCCAAGAATAAAGAATTGTCTTGCACTTCAAGAAAAAGAGAATGGCTTCAAGGGGCAAAAGATCCAGCCATTTTGAAAACTGAGAACCTGTCTAAATGGTTGTAGAAGAGCCAAAAGCGCGGGCATAAGAGGTAGAAGGCGTCAAAAGACAAAAGACGCATATACACTCAGACACAAAGAGAGAAAAAAATTCCCTAAAGTTACTGCTGTCTGCGTTTTCTCTCTTTCTTTTTAATTCTGTTTCAAAATGAAATTGATTGTTGCCCACTATCTTTGATGGTTCCTTTGTTGTTTGGCAAGGTGCATCATGGGAACGCAAAGTGCTCATAGCTTGGTTGTGAAGCGGCCAAGTACGCCTCTCTGTGTCGTCAACAACCAAGCAAAAAATTTAAGACATTTCAGTTGAGTGTTCAGTTCCAAAACACGATAAATTTTTCTCTAAATTCTATTGTCATTATTAAGTGATTTTCCAATTATTTATTGTTGGAACAAAGGTTCGTATCGTTTGACAATAGGTGGTGTCTCAACACGTCATTTCATTTCACACGGGACCGGAATTTTATATATATATATATATATATATATATATATATATATATATATATATATATATATATATATATATATATACGTATTCTAAAAAGTGAGATTTCAGTGCGTCTTTCCATACGATTCTTAAGCTTTAAATGATTTTTACGTTAAAAGATTGTGAATTTTAAATACTCTACGTTAAAAGATTGTGAATTTTAAATATTTTACGCTAAAAAAATGTGAATATTATGTTTTTCGTTAAAAAGATTGTGAAATTGAAATGTGAAAATCGATGAAAATGAAATGTGTTTCCCTCATTTGATGTTCTTTCATTTCCAGAAAGCCAAAGTGTTGTACACGCAGCAAAAATGATGTGCCGTTTATGGACATGGTACCGTGACTGAAAGTATTGCTTATATGTGGTTCGCTAGTTTCAGAAGGGGAGATTTTGATCGGGAATGTGGGAACGTTTCGTTGCTGATGAAAAAAAGTCGAAACGTCGATTAAAAAAAATCCCGGTTACACGATACAGGCCATCACAAAGATGATCCAACTAGCTCATTTGAGAGTTGTAAGGTATCTGGAGACGTGAATCGCTATGATGCTTGCTTACCACACAGTTTAATAAAAATGAGTGGGCTGTATCCATCTGCGTATATATATATATATATATATATATATATATATATATATACTAGCAGCATGACCCGGCGTTGCAAAAATCGTACGACTGTGCTGATGTTGCTACGTGCCTTACTTCTTGCCTATCTCAGACTGCGAATTTTTTCTAAGCTCTAACTAAACATTAAATCTGTTACGAAAAAAGAACTAAACAAAATGAACACAAAACAATCAGCTTTAAAAAAGGACTCGTAACTGGAAAAACCGAATGAAAAAAGAATGTTAACAACAAATACTTTTTCACACCCAACCCAGTTCTGCGGAATCAGAATCAACATTGAGTTTAAGCAAGCGAATGAGCCAATTGGAATAAAGTGCCATGCAGATTTAAATTTTTCCCACTTGTGACGAATGCAGCTATCGATTTTTTTTTTCATGCTAGTTAACATTCGTGTCAGTCAGCTGTTGGCTCTCACGTTGGCCAATAGAATCTTCCTGCCTATTCGTGGCAGCCAGCTATAGGCTCTCACTCTGACCAGTACAAAATGGCCGCAAACTACATGAAAAGTGCCGTAGAAACATGAAAAAATCGATTATTTCCACTATCGATGGGAGTTGGGAAATGCAAAGTTGGTGTTGGCCTTCCCGCCAATTTGGAGCATGTAAATTTTGGTGCAAACTGTCTAAAATTGCGGCCGTGCATTCGTTACACACACACACACACACACACACACACACACACACACACACACACACACACACACACACACGCACACACATATCTTGCCTTTTATAGATAGAGATATGGACATTGAAGTCAAAACCCATAGGCGATAGTTTGTTTCATGCAAAAGACAGTCATCAGTTACTTTAGCATGCGTTTAGGAGGGAACAGACTGTCGCCTCTGGTTGTTGATTTCAATGTTTACTTTTAGATTTACATATGTTCTATCTCTGATATTGAGCGCTTTAACCCATAAATATAGCTTAGCTTAAAACTATATTTTATCATTTATTATATATATATATATATATATATATATATATATATATATATATATATATATGTGATATATATTTATTCATTGTGTGGATAGGAATTTATGATCTTGGGTTTCACGCTTTTATATATATATATATATATATATATATATATATATATATATATATATATATATATATATATATAAAAGAAAGAACAGTAAGATATAAAATCCGGTGTTCTTATAAATATTTTATTTTTTACAAAATAGTGCTCAATGTAAATTTACAGAGCATTAATATTATAAATTAATTGATTTAAAATATGTTTTTTTTTCGCACACAGTTCCAACTATGTTTCAAAAATAGAAGCTAAAAGCCCTGAATTTAATTTTGCAATTAAATTAAAAGCATTAGTTCCATTTCATCTTCAAGCGAATTTTGGAGTAACTTTAAAAAATTACTGGGTTTTAAAGACACAGCTAAAATCACGTTTCCATGGTTACAGAATATTCTACTTAAATTGAGCAAGGTGTCAAGATTTTCCTTATATCAGTATCATTGTATCAGTTATTAGCTACAATTTGGTAAGAGGTAGGGATGTATTTTACAATGAAACCCGACATCAGTTGAATGGATGTCGTCTGGGTTAAAAAAAAAAAAAAAAAAATTATTGTTAACGGTAAAAAAATTTCAACGTCATTTTTTTTCTTTTATAAATTTAAAGATTTTCGGGTTTTTTTTTATCATAATACTTT